GCACCCCCCGAGGCGGCACTGCCCCCCGCCCCCTTGGCACACGCCCGGCGTCGCAGACTTGCGGCTGGAGGGCCAGGAGCCCGACGCCCCGGCTCGGCTCGCAGGATGCCCACCGTGTGCCACCTGCCTTCAGCCCTGGGGCGGACCGCGCGGCAGTTTGGGCTAGCGCGGCCCCACCGCCAGAGGGCAGCAGAGCGCGCGGAAGCCAAGGGCTGCTGTCCCGGGAGGGCACCCCTTCGCGTTCCAAACGTCCCACCCAAAATCTCAGGGCGCAGACCTTGGGACCACCCCCCGCCATCCGGGGCAGCCTTACAGTGGGGTTCAGCGAGAACCGCTCCTTCTGCAGCGCCGGGAAAGGCCGCTCTGGGCACTCGCCTTCAGCCGGGCCGCCTGGAAAGGAGCCTGTGCCAGTCGGTCCTGCCCCGGGCTCGCGGGCGTGAGCGCGTGGGTGGCCCGCCGCCCGCCCGCCTTGCGGCACAGTCCGAACCGCCTTGGGTCTCTTGAGGCCGGTGGGTCCAGGAGGGCTTTGCACTTTACAGCGGTGGGGACTAAAGCCAGGGGCCCGCCTGCCCGCTCCTACGGGGGAGGCCCTTGGGAACGCGCAGAGGGCCAGCACTCCTTCCACCCACCGCCCGCCCCTCCCGGCTGGCCGGCCCCACTGGCGCTCAGAGCTGCTCGCACCCAGGCCTGAGCACCGCCCAAGTCCCCTGTCACCCATCAGCATTTGCTGCCGCTCAGGGTGCACTTGCCTTGGCCATGGGGCAGACCAGGCCGGGCCCCAACCCCCGGCAGGTGTTCTGTGGTCAGGCAGGGGCAGGCTGCATCTAGTACAGGCCGGCAGACCTGCCCGGCTCCTGCCACAGCCACCTGGGGCGGGGCAGGGCTGGGGTCTGAGCTGGCCACTGCCGGTGGGGCCCCAGGCCTCAGGTCCACAATCCAGGCTGTGGCAGGACCTAGCCCTCACTTCTCCATTCCAGGCCCCTTCTTCCCCTTTCTCTTCTGCTTGGAGATCGGGTCAGGCCTGACTCTGAAGTAGGGATTCCCACCGACCTCCACTGCCCACTCCCACTTTTAGGGTAACCCCCTCGCTGTCCTGCACACTGTCCCGACCAGCCCCACTGACCCTGCCTACCCAAACCCCTGGGGCCCCAGCCCCGTGCCTCACACCACACAGACTCAGCTGGCCTTGCATGCCTGTAACTGGCTGACTGCACAGCTCCTGCTGCAGCCAAACTGCTGGGGAAGGGTGGGCAAGCCTGCCCACCTCCGTGCCCCAGGGCAGCGCAGTGGGGGACCCCACACTCACCACGCAGCGGATGCCCCTGCCAACCTGGGCCCCAATTCCCATTGACTGTATTTCCTCTCTGGGTGACCCTGACCAGTAATTTCCTCCAACCTGTCTCCCCCCCCCCTTTTTTTTTGGAGAAATTATCGCTATAGGGCGCGTGCGCTCGCCAGACAGAGAGAGACATAGAGACAGAAAGCGAGAAATCACCCCCCCAGGGGGAATGGTCACGTCGCAGTCCCTTCTCCTCCATTCTCCTCTCAGGATCTTGGGCACGCACGCACATGTGCCCGGCGTGAGTTTTAAGCCACCGGGTCCGGGACTCAAACCGCGGTCGACTACGTGGGAGTCCAGCAAC